TTTTTCAAGGGGAACATCCTGGACATGTGACTTACTTTTGAAGCTCAAATTGGGCAGATTTGCACATTTGAATTCACTAAAAAACAATATTAAATACTGCATGAGTTATTTTATCAAGTCGTGGTATTTTATTAGTGAAAACCATGCGTTAATGTTTCAGCTGTCAGCGGGGTTCCCCACTGACAGTTGAATGTAAAAGAAAGAATTGCCGGCAATTAAAAAATAAAAAAACGGTGTGGGGTCCTCCCTCCATCCATACCAAGCCCTTCGGGTCTGGTATGGATTTTGAGGGGAACCCCCACGTCATAAAAAAGTCAGGAAAGGGGGGGACGAGCGAGCGCCCCCACTTTCTCTCGTGAGCCATACCAGGCCACATGCCCTCAACATGGGTTGATGCTTTGGGGCGGTGGGGGGCTCCACCCCCCAAGCACCTTTTCCCCATGTTGATGGGGACAAGGGCCTCTTCCCCACAACCCTGGGCTGTGGTTGTGGGGGTCTGCAGGCGGGGGCTTATTGGAATCTGGAAGCCCCTTGATCCCGGCTCCCCCATGAGCGGTACATGGTACCGCTACCCATTCACAAAGAAAAACTGTAGTGTGAAAAAAGACAAGAGACAGTCTTTGACAAGTCCTTTATTAAAAGAAGGAAAATAAAAGAATGTCCCCCGAAGTAGATCCAACATCAATCACGATGCCCGCCTCCGCCGAATGTAAAAAAGAAAAAAAAAAGAAAAGAAAGAAGGCTCCGCTCCCGACCATCTGACTGCTGCTCTGGCTTGACAGTTCTTAGGTATGTATAGAACGGGGCCATCAAGTATGTGAGCCCACCCCCATGTGACATCATTGACCTAGCATGCCCCAGCCGATGATGTCACAAGGGGGTGTTATCACCGGGTGGTCCCACCCTTTACATATTTAAGAACTGTCAAGCCAGCAGAGCACTCAGATGGCGGGCAGCCAGTGTCGGGATCGGAGCCTTTTTTTTTTTTTCTGGTTCATGGCGGTGGCAGGCATGGTGACTGACGTTGGATCTACTGTGGGGGACATTTTTTTATTTTCCCGCTTTTAATAAAGGACTTGTCAAAGACTGTCACCTGCTTTTTTCCACATTAAAGGTTTTTCTTGAGAATGGGTAGCAGTACCATGTACCCCATACTCATTCACATGGGGGGCGGGATATGGGGGCCCCTTGCTAAAGGTGGGCTTCTAGATTCCGATAAGCCCCCCGCCCATTGTCCCCCGCAACCACAGCCCAAGGTTGTGGAGAAGAGGCCCTTGTCCCCATCAACATGAGACAAGGTGCTTTGGGGGGGAAAGCACCCCCCCCCCCCTCATGTTGAGGGCATGTGGCCTGGTATGGTTCTGGGGGGGCAGGGGGAAGGCCTTGCTCGCCCCCCCCTTTCCTGACCTGCTGGGCTGTATGCTCGGATGAGGGTTTGGTGTAAATTTTGGTGGGGACCCCACGCCATTTTTTTTTGCGTGGGGGTTCCCCTAAAAATCCATACGAGCAATGAAGGGCTTGGTATGGATGGAGGGGGGGACCCAACGTCGTTTTTTAATTATTTTTTAATTGCCGGCAATTATTTCTTTTACATTCAGCTGTCATTGGGGACCTCCGCTGACAGCTGAAAGAGCCAGACCTTCCCACATGTGCTGTGCATTTTTGGAGCGTTTTTAAACGTTTTTGAGGTGGTTACCATTCATTTCAATGGGAAGAGGCGTTTCTGAGGCGGTTTTCTTTTTACTCCCCAAACATGCCTCAAAGATGCTGCAAGCATGAGATTTTACACCGCATCGCAAGTGCAACGCCTCAGTGTGAAAACATATATAGATATACATTCACATACACAGGGAAGCATTTTTCTTGAGCTTTTCAGACGTTTTTTTTTTTTTTAACGCAAAAATGCTTCAAAAACTCCTCAGTGGTAAAGCAGCCTTAAAGAGGTATAGACTCCAGAGAGAGAGATATCATTTTACCCCTGTACAAATCATTAGTAATACCTCATCTGGAATATGCAGTTCAATTTTGGGCACAGTTATGTAACTGTGTTGGCCTTCTTCCCATGGTGTGTCTTGGAGCCATGTCTTTCTCATTAAGTGATGCACATGCACACAGCCATTCACATGATGTAACAGAAAACTTCGATTCATCAGACCAGGCCACCTTCTTACATTGCTTCATGGTCCAGTTCTGTTGCTCATGTGTACCCATTGTAGACGCTTTTGGCTGTGACTAGGGGTCAGCATGACCAATCAGTGGCTATGCAGCCCCATACACAGCAAAGTGCAAATCACATTTTTTCTGCTTTCAACATATCAACTTCGGGGATAACATGTTTACTTGCTGCCTAGTATATCCCACAGACTTTCAGATGCCATTGTAACAAGATAATCCATGTTATTCACTTTACCTGTCAGTGGTCAAAGTTATGGCTGATTGGTGTGTATATCCACCTTAAACCATATAAATAGACATAAGGTGTGTGCTGAGATGATAAGCTATACTGCAAATTACAGATGGAACTTCTATTTCCTCTCTGGTTCCAAGTAATTTATATTGCCCATTATATTATTTGCTCTTCCTTTCACATATTTAAGGCACAGGACACTGAATGCCCTTTTCAGATTTATTGGACATGAGGTTTTCAATAAATGCAGATATTGGACTGCAAGAATGGAAATTATGGATCGTCAGTTACTATATAAAATATATACATACACATAAACAGACACATCCAAACAAGTCTTGTATGTATTTTTTTTTCTACTTACATGTATCTTGTACAGCTGCTTTATTACATTACATTATTATTATTATATTAATTGATGGGCAGAACTTGTTGGTGAAGTCATCTTAGACCATGTTTGAGGCCAACAACTAATTCAGGTCTTGTGAAGAGTAGTCAGTGAACAGGTACCAGGAATCGGCACTTTGAAGATTAAAAACTCTCGATCAGTGCAATTTCCTTTATCACACCCATGGCACCCAGACCAGAAATAGTTTTCTTCCTGAACTTGTACAACAGGAATGCCAGCTAAAGTATGTATGGCAAACACTTTATTTTAGTTTTGAGTAAAGTAAGGAAGGGTTAACACACCTGTCATTTTATTTTTGCAGTGTGTCCCCTGTTGGGATTTCCTGTCACTTCCTTACCCAGAGACCCAACAGAAGTGAGAGCAAATTATTATTATTATTATACAGTATTTATAAAGCACCAATAGTTCGCTCAGCGCTGTACATTACAAAGGGGGACAGAACATGTGACAGAACAATACCAATACAATGCAAAACATGAGGGGATTGAGGGCCCTGCTCTTTCGAGCTTACAATCTAGAAGGGACGGGATAGTGGTACAGGAGGAGATAGCTGTGGGGGATGGAGTGGTAGGAAGAGTGGAGGAGGTCGGTCAAGTTAGCAGGGGGTAGGGTAGGCTTCCCTGAAGAGATGGGTTTTCAGGGTGCGCCTAAAGAAGAGGAGAGTAGGTGATAATCTGATGGGTTGGGGCAGGGAGTTCCAGAGGATGGGTGACACCCTGGAGAAGTCCTGGAGGCGGGCATGGGAGGAGGAGACCAGGGAACTAGAGAGAAGGAGGTCTTGTGAGGAGCGGAGTGTGCGTGCTGGGCGGTACTTGGATATTAGGTCAGTGATGTAGTATGGGGCAGTATGGTGGACATGAGAGGGAATACTAAGTGAGCGGAATTACCCACTTCTACAGTGAAAAATGTAATCCTTACCTCTTGTTCTGCTGACAACTCTAAAAATTTGGATTGTCCATTACTTTCTGTCTTGGTGACAATAGTCACTAGGACAAATTGAGAGGGTGAATCTACCTAGCAGGGACACAAACCACAATAAAAACTTCATGGGGGTACTAATCATTATTTATAACAACACAACCAATAACATGGACTTTATTATTACAGGTAGAGAGACTACATTCAACATATTATATAAAAACATAGAATTTATTATGCATCAACATTAAAAACAATATAACAACATGCTCACTCTATAAGTTCACTCATTATTTCTTTTTACAATTCCTTTGTAGACTCAAAGCATTTCAAATGCTCTTCCGCAGGAGCACATGTCAATGAATATCAACTAGTAAAACATGGTTATCCATAGGAGATCCAAAATGCTCCATACACAAAGTTCAATGAACAGTTAATGCATATCACCCACCACTCCAGTCAATATCACGCTGCTGTGGGATATAAACTGGAGTGCTGGATTATATGCAATACCTGTTGATTATACTTTGTGTCTACAGTATTTTGGATCTCCTATGGATAACCATGTTTTACTAGCTGATCACTAGATATTGGAATAACATGGGGGTGTGTACTTATGAATGGTTCTCCCTGGAAGGGATTTGATGCTCTTTGATTTTTCATCGCTCCTGGTCACTTCTCTTGTGAAAAAGATGTCTCACACTAAGTCAGTTCCAGCAGATTCTGTATATTTGTAATTTTAAAAGACTGGGTTCCACTATATTGATATTCATTCACATGTGCTCCTGAGAAAGATCATTTAAAACGCGTTGAGTCTCCATGTGAATTGTTGGAAGAAAAACTGTATGAAACTTCAGAATGGACATGTTATATGTTTTTTTTAACTCTGATGCATAATAGATTCTATGTTTTTATATAATTTGTTGAATATAGTATATTTACCTATATGCACCTTATAAAGTCCATGGCTACACATTGGGTGTGTTGTTATATATAAGTATTACAGGATGGGGACATATAGATCACAGAACCTATATCAATATCAAATTTGGGTTCTAATCATTCCCTAATATATTCAAACCTAAAAACACCACATTGGCTAAAAATGCTCTTTAAATCAAACACTTTTTTGCTCTTCTACATTTTTATTATTCAACACAGAAAGTTTTTCCTTGTCAGAATATACAAAGTTCAGTCTTACAGAGTTAAGTCGGGATGTACAAAGTTAAGCACAAAATGCTTTAATAAAAAGAATGGAAAACTTACTCATTTCTGCAAGTTTCTGCTGTAACTTCGAATCAGTATAAAGTGTTTTGCTGGTGATAACAGAAAATAAGATCAAGATGAGTAACGTCAGATTAAAAAAAAACATGCAGTGTTGTCACCAAATATTACAGAAGCAGGTTTTTTTTTAGCAAAATTTTTGAGGCAAGTTTTTTTCTGAGCGTGTGGATGATGGTCTACAGTCAGGTCCATAAATATTGGGACATCAACACAATTCTAACATTTTTGGCTCTATACACCACCACAATGGATTTGAAATGAAACAAAAAAAGATATGCTTTAACTGCAGACTTTCAGCTTTAATTTGAGGGTATTTACATCCAAATCAGGTGAACGGTGTAGGAATTACAACAGTTTGCATATGTGCCTCCCACTTGTTAAGGGACCAAAAGTAATGGGACAATTGGCTTCTCAGCTGTTCCATGGCCAGGTGTGTGTTATTCCCTCATTATCCCAATTACAATGAGCAGATAAAAGGTCCAGAGTTCATTTCAAGTGTGCTATTTGCATTTGGAATCTGTTGCTGTCAACTCTCAAGATGAGATCCAAAGATCTGTCACTATCAGTGAAGCAAGCCATCATTAGGCTGAAAAAACAAACCTATCAGAGAGATAGCAAAAACATTAGGCGTGGCCAAAACAACTGTTTGGAACATTCTTTCTGGAACAACATCCTATGGACAGATGAGACCAAGATCAACTTGTACCAGAGTGATGGGAAGAGAAGAGTATGGAGAAGGAAAGGAACTGCTCATGATCCTAAGCATGGCACCTCATCAGTGAAGCATGGTGGTGGTAGTGTCATGGCGTGGGCATGTATGGCTGCCAATGGAACTGGTTCTCTTGTATTTATTGATGATGTGACTGCTGACAAAAGCAGCAGGATGAATTCTGAAGTGTTTCGGGCAATATTATCTGCTCATATTCAGCCAAATGCTTCAGAACTCATTGGGCGCCGCTTCACAGTGCAGATGGACAATGACCCAAAGCATACTGCAAAAGTAACCAAAGAGTGTTTTAAGGGAAAGAAGTGGAATGTTATGCAATGGCCAAGTCAATCACCTGACCTGAATCCGATTGAGCATGCATTTCACTTGCTGAAGACAAAACTGAAGAGAAAATGCCCCAAGAACAAGCAGGAACTGAAGACAGTTGCAGTAGAGGCCTGGCAGAGCATCACCAGGGATGAAACCCAGCGTCTGGTGATGTCTATGCGTGCCAGACTTCAGGCTGTAATTGACTGCAAAGGATTTGCAACCAAGTATTAAAAAAGTGAAAGTTTGATTTATGATTATTATTCTGTCCCATTACTTTTGGTCCTTTAACAAGTGGGAGACACATATGCAAACTGTTGTAATTCCTACACCGTTCACCTGATTTGGATGTAAATACCCTCAAATTAAAACCGACAGTCTGCAGTTAAAGCGCATCTTGTTTGTTTCAGTTCAAATCCGTTGTGGTGGTGTATAGAGCCAAAAATGTTAGAATTATGTCGATGTCCCAATATTTATGGACTTGACTGTATATTGTCTTAAAAAATTATTACATTTTGCAAAATGTTTTCTAAGAGCAAATTTGTTGCCCTGGACTACTGTAAACTGCTCTTGGAGTTTCTGAATTAGCTAGTTTTTGCGGATGAGTTTTTTACCTATTTTTTTTTGTGGTGAGTTTTACTGGGCTGCCAAATGTGGTTTGTACATTTAGAAATAAAAAAAAATTGCCATCCCAGATTTATGTTTCCAAAAAAAACTGCAACTATTAATCAAGGCATCTGCCCCTTTAAAAGCAAATTAACACTTTAAACATGTGAAAGATCAGTGAAAGTAAGCGCTAACCATAAATAGCCAAAAAAAACATGTACAGATTCCAACTGAATATAGTGTTCTTGTGACCATGGAAATAAAGTGACCAAATCTTTAAAAACTCAGCAGTGTTCCACCAACGTATTCAGATAAACTGGGCACTCACCAGACTGCATCAGCCAACATTCAGCCAACAGTAAACAATAATATTAATATTATATTTCAGGACAAGCTTTCAGGGGTATAATCCTTCTTCTAGTTTAAAGTAGTACTGATACACAAATGTTTCCCAAAAAGTCTTGATGTGCAAAGTGTGTTTTTTATTCAAAGATTGTTGTCTTTTCAGATTTTTCTTAACATTAGCTAATCAGTACTGCTTGGAATTAGAAGGGGGTAGAGCCCTGAAAGCTTATCCACAAAAATCATCAGTTAATGAAAATTTAAAAAAGTATCAGACATTTTTTTTTTTTTTTTTTAAGTGCAGTCAACTTGGTTCCAAGTCCTAGTGACTTGATTAATGAGAATTCTAAAAAAGTCGGTTTTGTGCCAGTGAAATATTAGTTCTATGGGCTGTCCACGGTACACATAAAATCCTTCTCAAGCACCAAAGCACAAATGAGTCAATCTTCTTTCTTTCCTATTTTCGCTGTGCTCAGCTTTTACAGCCGTAACTGACAACTGAGAAGACAAGTGCAGGGACGAATCTGATCTTCGTTTTCAGTGTAATTTCTTTACCTTTGAATACTTTGCGCTTGGTAGCCACACAATGAATCTCTTGACAGAGTATTTTGTCACTACTAATTGCTTCTGTGTTATGAAAGAGCCCAGTAGATTGAAATGCTTTACAACTTCTATTTCCATCAAGCTCAAAATCATCATCATTTGCTGTGTTCATGATCTTCATCTTGTTTATATTCAGTTCTAATCCCATGTTTCAACTTTCAGTTTTGACTTTTCTCAGTAAATACAGTATATCTTATTTGCTGCTGGTGATGAGGGCTGTGTCGGCTGCATAGATCAGATTGTTTATGTTTCGGCTGTCAACTTTGGTACCAATAGACTCTTCTTCCAAATTTGCATTTTTGAACATGGCTTCACCATAAAGGCTGAACAAGTAAGGTTTCAAGATGCTTACCGGCCTGACTCCTCGTGTTATTGGAAACTACTTAGTGTTGCCGTTTTCAGTTCTCACTACAGCTTCTTGATTTTTGTAGAGACTCTTGATCAAATGAGTTATGCATTTAGGAATTCCCATTTGCAATGGAGTTCTCCACAATTTATCATGATCCATACAATCAAAAGCATCTCAAACTTCCCATCTGCAGAACCTTTGAATTAATGAACTTCTTTAACTGGTACAGTGCAATATTTAAGACTGAGTTCACAGGAACTACTACCAGAACAGATCACTTTTTAGTGAACACTTTTTCCAATGGAATGAGTTCACTGATGATTTGGGATTCACCCAATCATCATAAATTACCTATCCTAATTGTGAATGAGTTGGGATTTTTTTTTCTATTTAGTAGGTTTCTTGGTACCCAAAAGGAGCATGACAAGATGTAGGGAATTCAACTGCAACAATGCTGAAAGATTTGCACAAAAAAGAAAGTGAGCACATTCATATTGGCAAGCATATTGTGTGAAACTGCAACCTCAGGTGTATAGTCTGGGGGGTGATATATTTTCCGCAGCCTACTCAAACACCTTTTCTGGGTCCCTCTTCACTCCCTTTTATATCCACCTCTTCTAGGCCAAGCATAACTGACCTAGTTAGAATCTGCCTTATTTCAGGTAGGCCACTTGCTGCGTCCTTTAAATAGAACTAGAATTAAATGCAGAGACTGGTGTTAAAACTGGGTCTTGCTCCACTGGAAGGGAAGTATAGTCACTCTGCTGTTGAGAGTTGTGCAGGCCTTCAGCAGAGTTAAGATTCAAAATTGTGAAAAGCAATATTTTGGTGCCTTAAAAAACAAACTAAAAAAGTGAATGACGTCCAAAATGTAGATGGTGCCAGCTTTAAGCCAGCAGTGATAACAGCTGCCCCTAAATAGTGAAATACACTTGTAATATAAATTCGTGAATAGGTAGGCGCTATATCAACGGCGGGGCGTGTACGGCCTTCATTCGCCATTCCTGAGGGTGGGAGCTGCAAGAGCGGGGAACCGAAGCGGCCCGAGTCCTTCACTTGCAGAGTTACCTAGGGGACAGCTGAGGGGTGTTCCAGTGTGGAAACACACGATCCATGAGGAGAAACTTGGACGCATTGATGTACCGGATGATGACCCTATCCGCCTAAGACTTGCTTCGCTTGGATATCGGGATACCATCTATATGCATATGTGAATTATGCATCTGGTGAGTGCATAATTTTACTACTCTGATCACCGGAAGACGCACGTGTTTCAAGTCACCATTGATTTTTTGAGGACTTTTTTGCTTCACATGCACAGTTCTTTGCACATTGTCATTACTAACATTTGTATGTTTAATAGTTTATTTTAGCGCTGCGCCCTTTCTTATATGTCTTTTTATTAAGTCTTTTGGTACTTATTGGCGCTTAGCAGCTTTTTTATCTAGCGCTCACTTTCCCTATCTTTTTTGACTTGGCTATATCAATGAAGCATGTGACAAATATCATCAAAATACTTTTGCAACAACATAAAGTGACTTAAAGTCCCAAACAAAAATATATTAAACATTTGGTGAGTTACAGTCCCATAGGATAATATCCCGTAGATCAAAAATTATTTTCTTTTCCACCATGTGGTGCAATAAATGAATTCCTCACTCACCAGAAATTACTGGCCCCCTGAATAAGGTGGTCAAAAAGTGTTCTATGGTCATGCAATCTGCAGGTAGCCAACTGCAGGCTCTCATGGAACAGGCCAGGCCTCCTGATCTCCTAATATGGAATGGTGATCCAAGGAATAAAACATAATGACCCCCAGATAGGATATTGGATGGATTCTCAATCCCAGGCTCTCCTGAAGATATATCTCCAAATGTCTTTAGGATAGGTAGTGCTCCAAGTAGGTTTTCGCTCTTTTATTGTCCTTATTTCTTCTTCACTCAGTTCTTTTATCCTCTTCTTTTGTCTGCCTGGGTTCCCCAGATGACTTGTCAGGTCAAAAATCGTAGGGATAGCATTTTCTCATAGTACCGAGCACATAGTCTATGGTGCTTGTTGAGCTGATCGAGGGTTTTTATCTTCTAAATCAGACCAACGACAGTTCTCAACCCACTTCTGGCATCTGCCAGGGTCCCAGGGAAAGCAGAAGACGACAAGATGATGCACAAAATTAGCAGCATTAGCTGGTTGGAAGACATCTTGGGCTAGAAGTATGTGTTTCTTAATAGTCAGCAGCTGCAATACTTTAAATTTCCAAAACCCAGGTACAGATTCTCTTTAACACGTAATATAAATACTAGCATCAATAGTATTAGTATTAGCAGATAGTCTAAACTTGGTTGCTTGCAAATTATTTTACAGTTAGCATTTGTCAATAAAGCACTTCAAATACATGTTTGTGTATTGACATGCATTTGATGCATATCTATTGATTTTATTTGAAAGTACATCTGGAAAAAAAGGACAAATTAAACTTATCCCCCGATTCGCTGCCATTTGTTTGTTTTCAATTGGAGCATACATACTAAAATGCATTTAAACGAAAGCGCACTTAAAACCCCCAAATGTATATACAGTAAGTATATATATATATATATATTACAGACTGTGGAATTAAATTGTGGTAATTATAGTTTTTTATGTCGCACAATAATTGCGCTACTTTTCAGTAACAAAATAAATAAAAATTAATTTTTTTGCATACTAACCCAATATAATACCCATCTTTTGGTAAAATGTTAACAATGAGAATGCCCAAATATGCTACAATTGTGTGTGCCCATGAAATGCCAAAAGACGATACCCAAAATAGTGTAGTAGGTGCTGCTTTAAAAGCCTTTACAAGTTATTAATTTATAACAAAGAAGGCCCCAGAGTTATTACACTCTCTCTGACCTGTATGGTGATAGATGTTATGTAGTGTGAAATTCTTTCACACATGTGCACACCCAACATATACACTGGGGTTCCTATTTCTGAAAAGAGCACTTTTCAACCGGTTTCTGCTTAGGGTGGTTATGTGGCTGTGGAGAAATGATTATTGTCTGTTCACAAAAACTACCAGGAGCGTTTTCTCTGTAGCAATAAGAAATCAGCACACTCTTCAGTAAACTTATAACTGCAAAGTTATAAATGCAAGCAAGTAATTTCTCTTTTTAAACATATGTATCTGTATAAAGTTATGCATCTAGGCTAGGAAGGCTTCTTACCCATGAACGACATGGAGGTTGAGCTGAGACGGCCACTGTGTGTGGTGATGTCACTTACAGGACTGCACGCCCCCACGTACGTAGCCTTCCTAGCCTCACACCTACTGTGGATTATCCATACCGCCGGCACTATGTACATTGTACAGGAGAGAACAAGGCGCCATCTGGCGGAGTTGCTGCCATACTGTAAAAGGACTGCCGATGCGATGGTAAAGAAAATGTCACAAAAGGAAGTGTGAGATGATAGAGATGAGCTTATATTGGTAGCCCCCTAGCCTCTTAATGCTATATGTGTGAGGTCACTGGGTTGACTGTACTGTGGCAAGTTACTCTGTCATCAACAATTTATCAACATCTTATATCTGGACTGCTGTTGACTTTACAGTATCTCTACTATACAACTATACTTGCGGACCATACATCCAGGCATTACAAGTGACTATATCAACATATGCCAATTTGATTGTCATGTGTTCCATATGATCCATTAACAGAAACTTTATTTAAGAATGACATAACTGATTACTTCATTATATCCTTGGATGTTATCCATAAATTGCTGCTTTATCCCCTGAGGCCTCCTACTATTCATGCAATACTAGTAATACCCCCCATGTATGAATGTGGCCGAGTGAGCAGCTACCTAGGTGACTAGACAATGTGGTCTTTCTATTTAGTGAGGTGCTGGTTAGCGGTATTAGCTCACTTTTTGTATACTGTGTGTTATATTTTTTCATTAAAGCCATTGTTGATTAAGCTGCATGGTCCCATTTGAAACTTTCTTCCAGGGGTATCTTCCTAACCCTGTTTTTTATATGAACTGTTTATAAGTTTCGGTAAGACCACTTTTCATATTGGCTAAAGAGGCCCCTGGCTTATCTTCTTCATACCGTTCGTTTGATTTAACGTTATTCATCATACCTTCCATCTGCCTCTTCATGTTCATCAAATCGGAGCTTCTTCAGCGGTTTGGGGACTGTGCCGTCTTGTGCGGTCCTCTTAGTAGGGCGTTCAGCGCTGCTCAGCATTTGGTTAATTTTCTGAAATTTCTCTGAAGACTAAACAAAAAAAATACCAAGCATTTGCATATTGCAAACAAGTGTAAGCAGCAAAATATCACATATTGCAAACAAGTGCAAGAAGGAAAATATCACTAAGAGTTATATCAGTACTAGCTAGATGTACATTCATGGGACAAACATAGGAAAACACTGACCATTTAGCAATATGGAACTGTACAAGTACAATGCAAAGTAATATGTAAAGCAAAAACAACATATTGGTGTCATAAAATGGAACTTCACCAAAAAGGGGAAGTTTAGCTTGTTTGCCTCCTCCCCCTCCACTGTCACATTTGATACTTTTTGGTGGGGGAAGAAGATAGCAGGTACATGGTTCTGGTTAGATGCGTTGTGGCAATCTGAGTCAGAACTTGCCCCCCGCACCGCAGCTTTCTGGAACATTTCACAAGTTTCAGAAGACTGTGGGGCCATTCACAAAGAGCAGTGCTGATTAAAGAATTGGCTTGGAAGTGGGCATCACTGGATCCCTGGACAGGTAGGTGTCCTTATATTAAAAGTCAGCAGGTACAATATTTGACAATTAATTTGACTTCATTTTTTTTTTTTGGGAGGGGGGGATTTGCTTTCTTATACAGAATATTTAAAAAAAACTCAATTGTGCCCCAGCAGTACTCTAAAAATTACCCTTTTGTTGTGAAATCCTGAAAAATAAAATAGCATTTTTTGTACCTAGGCATTCCTGTGCCTTCAGTTTCAAAGCTGTAGATCTAAAGCAGGGCTTAAAATTTCCACTCGCCTGCTCGCTTTTGCGAATGGAAATAACGTGGGGGCGAGTGTTATTGTTGGCTACTCCTTGCCCATTACTGACTGCTCCTTCACCTTCTATCACTCCCTTTTCTTTTACCTATCAACTGTACTCTGTATGATGAAGTTCTCCCGCCTCCCCCAGTACTTGTGTCCTGTGGCTCGTCTAGCTGTCTGTATCCGATGGCCACTCCGGCGTCAGATGTTGCTATGGTGATGTCAGGCGCATGCGCACCCCCTCACACAACCTCCTCTCTGCTCCCGGGACCGGAAGACAGACGTACCGGGATCCCAGAGAACAGGGACGGACTAGAGGTGCAGGCAGCCAGGGACCGCTCCATCTCACATCACATAGATTCACTGGAAGGAGCAGAGGACCTCCTGTCCTCACCAAGAGCAAGACCAGACCCTGCCCGCTGCTGGCTATCATGCACATCCTGCTGGCATGGAAGGTATCGTACTGAGCATTACACACAGCAGATAGGTACTGGGACAAGGAGGCACAGGAGGAAGTGCAGACAGCGTTTGTATCAGTGGGAGGAATTATACCCGGTCATTAGTATCAGTAAACGGAACAATACCCCATGCTTGGTGTCAGTGGGAGGAATAGTGCCAAACGCTTAGTGTCAGTGGAAGGAATAGTACCCCATGCTTGGTGTCAGTGGAAGAAATAGTGCCCCACGCTTGGTGCCAGTGGGAGGAATAGTGCCCCACGCTTGGTGCCAGTGGGAGGAATAGTGCCCCACGCTTGGTGCCAGTGGGAGGAATAGTGCCCCACGCTTGGTGCCAGTGGGAGGAATAGTGCCCCACGCTTGGTGCCAGTGGGAGGAATAGTGCCCCACGCTTGGTGCCAGTGGGAGGAATAGTACCCCACGCTTGGTGCCAGTGGGAGGAATAGTACCCCATGCTTGGTGCCAGTGGGAGGAATAGTGCCCCACGCTTGGTGTCAGTGGAAGTAATAGTGCCCCACGCTTGGTGTCAGTGGAAGGAATAGTAACCCATGCTTGGTGTCAGTGGAAGGAATAGTACCCCATGCTTGGTGTCAGTGGGAAGAATAGTGCCCCATGCTTGGTGTCAGTGGAAGGAGAAGTACCCCATGATTGGTGTCAGTGGAAGAAATAGTACCTCACGCTTGGTGTCAGTGGGAGTAGTAGTTCCCCACGCTTGGTGCCAGTGGGAGGAATAGTACCCCACAATTGGTGCCAGTGGTAGGAATAGTACCCCATGCTTGGTGTCAGTGGGAGTAATAGTGCCCCATGCTTGGTGCCAATGGGAGGAACAGTACCCCACGATTGGTGCCAGTGGGAGGAATAGTGCCCCATGCTTGGTGTCAGTGGAAGGAATAGTACCCCATGCTTGGTGTCAGTGGAAGGAATAGTACCCCATGCTTGGTGTCAGTGGGAGTAATATTGCTCCACGCTGGGTGTCAGTGGGAGGAATAGTGCCCCAGATTGGTATCAGTGGGAGGAATACCACCTCAGCTTTGGTATCGCTAGTGCCTCAGCATTGGCATCCCTAATGATGTAAAATTAAAGCTATGTTATAATTGCAGTTTTTTTATATTTTGGACTCTTTATTCTAAAGAAAAATTTAAATTCATAAGCGTTAAGGGGGCGTGGTTGGGGGCAGGGCAAAGGGCGGGTGGGGACTGGGTTGGGGGTGGGGTTGGAGGCGGATATGGGCAAGGTTGATTGTTGCAACTGGTGGAGAGTAAGGTTTGTGCCTGGCTAGTAGGTCTAGACTCCAAATTTTAAGCCCTGATCTAAAGTACAGTGTAAGATTCTAAAGCACTGTATGCCTGCTATGACTGCTAGCCAAAAGCTTTGTAGTGAAATTTGATGTCACTACTGTGCTTCATACTGCTCTCCCTGCTGGAGTGACGGCTGCAGTGCTTGCATTTCTCTGCTTCATCTACTCCATGGATATTTGTTTTCTGAACCTCTCCTGCCGCTTGATTATTCTTCCATTAGTTATCAGATTGTCATTTTGGGGCAGCTTTGATATAAAGAATCAGTCTTTCCACTACCAAGAAGGATGTCTCCACAAAAAGACAATCACGGTAAGTCAGTCCTGAAGAAAACATTAGCATTTTTTTGGGCACAGCTTCCACAATTCAGGTTTTCTTTAATTGTTTTGTGCCTAAAAGCTGACATGAGTATGCATAAACTTTCAGTATTAAGATACAAAGTCCTTTAACCGTTTTGCTGACAGGTCCATATGTTGTACAGACCTGACAGTGAGGGGAGGTTTACACCCACCCACCCACTGCATTAGATTCACTGGAGCTCAGGTGAGACATTCAGGGTCTTTTAGACACCAATTTGTCTCATAAAAGAGAACCTGTCACCAAAAAATCAGCACATAGGGGACTATTTGTCCCCTGTGTGATAAAAAAAAAAATAATTTTTTAAGCTGTAAAAAAATGTAAGTTACATTCAAGCACATAAAATCCCCGACCACCCCATACAAAACGCATATGTCTGGGGCGCTTACGCACTAAAACGTTCATTGTAATACACATGTTAAACATTGTCGCACAAACCAGGCTGAGAGCATTAATTCTAGAACCAGAACTCCTACATAACGCTAAACTGATGACCTGTAGGGGCTTTTAAAACATTGCATATGGAAAATTTAGGTTACTGAAGTTTGTTGCTATTACACAGCTGCACACAACTTTAACAAATTTTTGACATAGGTTTCTATTTACTCTGCGCAACCTCATCTTCTATGTTTTTACCCAAAAATATCAAATGTTGCATTTGTGTGCCGTAAAATTAACTTTAGTGTATTTGTAACTGAAATTTTACATTTCCTAGGCCATTTTCTAGGGCAGGGTTTCTCAACCAGGGTTCCTCAAGTGATGAGCATTTCTGTCTGCCAGGTAAGTTTTTACTGACACCATAGAGGTTTATAGCTATCTGTAAGGGGGGGGAATTCCTCCCAATGAACACTAGTGTAAGGAGCATTCTTTTCACTGACCATCACACTAATGTATCATGAGTTGTAGATAAAAGTACTTTGTAGCAGGGGCTCCATGAGACCGGAAAGTTATTTCAAGGGTTCCTCTATGTTCAAAAAGTTGAGAAAGGCTGCTCTAGGGTGTCTGCTTTCAGAAAATACATGAAACGCAAAAACTGCTCTAGCATCAAAACGGTTACAATATACAGAGCAAATTGTTTCTGTAGAAATAAGAGCCTGTCTAATGTTTAGAAAGCTCACATTCTCAAAACATATTGGATTTTTCTCTATATTAACATGTGTGCCAAACTGTTCATGACAAGTACAAGCAGGGGTTGAGACAACTTATAATGCTGCCCAGAATGCTGAACAACCTGTAGACAGTGTTAAAAATGCTATGGTTTATCCTAATCTTTGTTACTTTTGCTGAGCATATTGGCCTACAAGTATATTTTTTCTTGTTTTGGATATAGCATAAAGGGTTTAGAAAGGTTCTCTTGCTGTGTCACTGCTGGGGAAATCCACCCTCATTATTTATCATGTTGGCCTCTGTCTCAGAAGAAGAAAGTAAGGAAAATCCCCAAATTTTACAGTTGTCAAAACAACACAAGAGGGAAGTTTGCCAATTGCCTTTTGTGAGATTTCTCCACAATTTTAAGTGATTTCCACTCACTTCCATGAATGAAGTAATTAGGTCAAATACATTTAGGGGTAGAATTACTAAAACTGGTACACACAGATCTAATGCAGCTGTGCATAGTAACCAATCAGCTTGTAACTTTAGCTTGTTCAATTAAAGCGGTTGTAAAGGCTTGTTATTTTACCTTCATGCATTCTATGTATGAAGGTAAAAAAACCTTGTGTGCAGCAGTGACCCCAGCCCCCTCAATACTTACCTGAGCCCCATCGAGATCCAGCAATGTGCAGGACAGCTTCAAATGTTCCAGGTCTCATTCCTCCTCATTGGGTGAGACAGCAAGCAGGAGCCATTGGCTCCCGCTGCTGTCAATAACAGCCAGTCATCCAATGAGGAGAGAGTGGGGGCATGGCCAAGCCGTGGCTCCATGTGTGAATTGACGCACAGAGCAGCGGGTGCCCCCATAGCAAGCTGCTTGCTGTGCGGGCACCCGACAGAAATGAGGAACCAGGAGAGACTGCGGGGGACCCGAGAAGAGGAGGATCCAGGCTGCTCTGCGCAAAACCACTCTACAGAGCAGGTAAGTATATACACGTTTGTTATTTTACAAAAAAACCCTTTAGTATCGCTTTAAGCTTTGGCAATAAAACCTGGAAGCTGATTGGTTACTATGCATAGCTGTACCAGATTCTGTGTGCACCAGTTGTAGCAAATCTTCTACTTAGTGTTGAGGGCAACATTATTTATTTATTATTAGACAGTACAGTCAGTTTCTCTGGAAATATACTGAATTCATATAATAAACTGCAAATGTAAAACTTACTCCAAACGATTCACCAATGGCTACTAAGAATCTGGAGAGAAACAAAGAAAAAATGTTTCAGTGAAAACTTAAAAAAAAAAAAAAAAATTAGTATGAAATCATTAAACATCCAACAAATCTGTATAAAATTTTTTTTAAATTGCCAAGTTGGTGAGGCTCCCCAGGGTCCCACAAGAGGATGTGGGAACATGAGTAGCCAGCTTTCCCAAGTTCCAAGGGTGCTAATAGGCACAGGAGCAAAAACAAGCCTATAGGTACCATGCAAATTTCATCTGGCAATTGGTGCTTGCCTGCAATACTGTAGACTTGACCATCAACCTATGTGTACGTTTTTATGTCAACTCAATGCAGGCACATGGAGGAGACAAGAAGAAGAGTGGCACAGATAGAGGTTACGTTATCCCGTGGGGAATAATAGCGATCTGGACAAATGTGCAGCAGGTTAATCCTGATTAAATACGGAAAAAATATAATATTTTAAAAATCTTTCTACCAGCACTGTATTTAACCTGCCTGATTACGGTTCTCCCTCTCAGGACAGCTGGTTCTTGAACAGTGGTGATTTATGGATAGTCACCAATCCATCTAAAAATGCCCAAACTGGCAAACAATAATCTGATCTCCATGCACTGATTTACAAAGGTCAGATTTGTACCTTAAAAAATCCCTGTGACTTTAGACCTTTTTCATTTTGCTTTTTACACTTGATTGAGGCAAAACATTAAAATACATGTGCACAATGTTTAAGTGTAAAGCTTTCATTTTATTTCAGTAGCCATGATACTTTTATCAAACAGAATTATGATCACGATTCTTTTAGGCTCAGTCACTGATGTACTGGTATTTCAAAATGTACTAATCTTCATGTAAGATGATTACATGAACATATACGCAATTGAATTAAATGCTACAGCTCATACACATGCCATGTTCAAAATGGATGACTATGCACAAGTGCTTTCACATACAAACTATAGAGTTACTGCTATGCTAAATGAGTCACTCGCTAGTGACTATACTGCTATTTTATGACCATTTAATCTGTCTTCACTAAATACATACCTGAAAACGATCTAGGCCTTATGTCAGAAAGTTCCAACACAAGAGGGGAGTTGGTCCACTCAAATAAAGAGATTATTAAAGTGTTTACGGAGTATTACAAAAAGTTATATAATATTAGCCCCCAAGGCCCTCTAAAAGAAACTCAAGAGGGAATTAATAAAAAAAAAGATGACATACTTAAAAAATGCGGGATTACCAAAACTAAGTGAAGCACAGTTGAACTCCCTAGACGCAGAAATCTCCCAGGAAGAAATTAAAATAGCATTAAAAAGCACAGGGGGGGGGGGGAAAAGCCCAGGCCGGATGGTTATACAGTTAAGTACTATAAGAAATTTAGTGAAGTACTGTTACCCAAGCTGGAGAAATATATGAATGCTCTGGGAGGTGGGATGGAAGTGAGGAGAGAATCCCTACAGGCCCATGTAGTGCTTATTCATAAGGAGGGAAAAGATCCATCTCAGTGCTCCAGCTATAGACCTATCTCATTATTGAACACTGACACTAAACTGTATGCAAAGGTGTTAGCAAACAGGTTGAGGGATTTGATGCCTGAATGGATCCATGGAGATCAGGTGGGCTTTGTGCCAGGGAGAGAGGGTAGAGATAACGGCTTGAGAACCCTGATGCTTATTCAGAAAAGTAGAAAAGGGAAAGCCCCGGTGGTGCTCTTGTCAATTGATGCAGAGAAGGCATTTGATAGAGTGGACTGGGGCTTTATGATGGACAATTTAAAAGTGCTGGGGATAGGTGATGGAATGTGAGAGTGGATAAGTAAATTATATAGGGAGCCTACTGCAATCATCACGGTAAATGGGGAGAGATCAAAACCCATTGGAATGTCTAATGGTACAAGACAAGGCTGCCCACTGTCCCCCCTGCTATATGTATTGTCACTCGAACCTTTGTTGTCAATAATAAGAAATAGTGGATCGGTAAAGGGAATTCAGATAGAATCCATAGAACACAGAGTAGCGGCCTTTGCGGACGACTTATTGTTCTATGTGGGGAATCCCCGAATAACTCTCCCAAATATAATGAAGATCCTGAAGGAGTACGGTGAACTATCAAATTTAAAAATTAATCCAACGAAAACAGAGATCCTGAATATTAATATATCAAAGAACGAAAAAGAAAAACTACAAAAAGAATTCCCCTTTATATGGAGAGAAAAAGAGATAAAATACCTAGGAATAAAACTCACTGCCTCATCTAAGCATCTGTATAGATTAAACTATATCTCTTTGATAAATGAGATCAGGGAAGATTTAAAAAGATTAGAAGGAGGAAATCCATCCTGGATAGGACGTATAAACCTAGTCAAAATGGTAATTATGCCTAAAATACTGTATAGATTTCAAATGGTACCAATTAAAATCCCAGGAGCCTTCTTTAAGATAATGAAAAAAATGTTAACAAGATACATATGGAAGAATAAAAAACCTAGAATAGCATATGAAACATTGAGCAGGACTAAAGAGAAAGGGGGATTGGGTCTACCAGATGTCAAGAGATACTATAAAGCAGTGGTTTTAGCAAGAATATATGACTGGACATTTAACCATAAGGGGAAAAGTTGGGTAACAATTGAAAATGATCTTAGTGGCATTAGACTGAACCAGATGATATGGGTTCCACCACAGTTCAGGGGAATCAAAGAAAGCACAAGTACCTACACTTTAAATGTTCTTAGGGTATGGGACAATTTACACAAAAACATGAAATGGGAATTTAATTCTATACTAATGCCTCTCACAGATACTGATTATTTTCCTCCGGGAAAAAATAAGATATCAGGGAGATGGTTTAGAAAGGAGGATACCCAACTGAGAGATGTTTTGGTGGAGGGGGAATTGAGACCACTTAAAGATTTAATAGAGAAGAAGGGAGATATTTTTATTAGAATAGATGAGTGGAAATATCATCAATTGAAATGTTTCATTGGAAATCTACCGAAACCCCTGAGAGTAAAACAGGAGTGGAATATGTTTGAAAGGTTGTTAGAGACACGAAGGGATGGGAAGCACGGTATTTCAAAAGTGTATAGAATACTCACAGAATTAGACACAAATACAAAGTTAATTTTTATCACAAAATGGGAGAGAGATATGGGAGTTGGGTTTGATGAAGACAGACAGAGAAAGATGTTTAGATTGATACACGATAATGTTAGTATGAGAGAGGTTGAGGTTAATTATAAGTGTGTGACACGATGGCACATTACACCGAGTGTAGAGCACAGGATGAATGGGGGGAGAACTCAAATAAGTGTTGGAGAGGATGTGGAGAGATGGGCACAGTGTTTCACATATGGTGGGAATGTCCGAAAATCCAGGCTTTTTGGAAAATAATAGTCAAATTGATTAAAGAAATAACTGAAATTGACATAGGGTTAGACCCAACGACGTGTCTCCTACACAATGTGGAGACATCTGTAAATAGATATAAAGACTCAGGTATTTGGTACTTCTTGAATGCGGCGAAAGGGTTGATACCTAAGTTTTGGCGGAAGGCTGAGGTACCGAAGGAGGAAGACTGGATTAATAGAGTAAACCAGAAAGGTAGAATGGAAAGATCATACCATATACAGGAAGATAAGATGAGAGTTTATTCCAGGAGATGGGAAAAATGGGAAAGAGCAGGATTGAAAGAGAAATATAGGAAAATATGAACTAGGATGTGAGCAAAAAAAATTAATAAGCCTCAAGAGAGTAGAATGGGCTAGAGTCTGCAGAGAGGGGAGGAGGGAGGATGAGGGGCGGGAAGGGGGGGAAGTGGGATGGGAAAGAAAAGAGTTTTTAGTAAGGGAAAGATAGAAATGTTATAAATGTTTATATGTATGAGAATTTTTTTCCCTTTTTGGGTTTTTGTATTAACATGAAAAATTTAATAAATATTTAAATTAAAAAAAAAAAAAAAAAAAAAAAAGTTCCAACACAAGAATGTGTGTCAGCATACAAAATCTTTGAACAACTGACCCAGTCCTTGGCGTCATTTTTGTTGGAGACAGCAGTCCATCTGATGACTTATAAGGGCTTTTTAAAGGAGAGACATAGATGTTTCCACCAGGAATTCTTAATGGCGAATTTGCAAACCTGTAAGGGCTTCGTGGTATTTGAGGAATTGGCGACAAAGTGGGAGGCTTAAAAAAGAAAGAGAAATGAAAAGTTACAACAAACACCAAAATGCTTAATATTAGAGGCAGATATAAATAAAATCATTACAAATGTCCAAATATTAAAGCTGAACTCTGGCAGAAAATTTTTCTCCATGTCTTTTTTTGTTCTCTTTATTCAGAGAAACAGTTGTAGTGGGAATCCATTTTTTGTTTCCATAATTACATGCCTCTTTCTCCTTCACATTTATTTTACAAGGCTGGGGTGGCCACTGGTCTTGGTCACTTCCTCACTGTAATTTTGTAATGTAGTGAGTGGGGACGTCACTACATCTCCACTTGCTGTGGCGGGACCACTGAGGAGTCTGATTAACACTCCTAGCCTGTCCCACCTCCCATGACTTTATTCTGAGAATGACAGACCAGAAGTCTCTTGGTCTGTCATGCCCTTCCACTAGAATTCTAATGGCATGATGGGAATTGTAGTTTCTCATAGCAGTGCATGAGAAGAGTGATTGTGATGTATCCATCTGCAAGCTGCTTTTCGAAAAAGCAGCAACAATGTCGCTCATTTTTCAGCATAATTATGAGCTAAAGAGGTGATGGTATTGAGCAACTTATTTGCAGCTTTTAAATATTTATAGTTGAAACCAATATTAGATGATTTTTAATTGCATCCCAAAGTGTAGCTGTAAACCGATCTGTCCAGACTATTATAAATACCTTGTTTCAACAGCTACCAAGTACAGTAGATCTCCTCTTGATCAAATAATTCAACAGACAGTTTATAACATGATTCTTCCTAGATAGCCTAGAGCAGATGTTGGGTCTAGCCAACATAATTAGTTCAGAAAAACAAAATAAATACAAAGTGTAATATTATTATCATTTTATATTAGTGCTAATTACTTTTTTCTCTTAAACTAAGTATTTTAGGAAACCATAAAATGTAATTTCCTCGTAGACTTCACACATATATCCTAGGAATAAATGCTATCTTGGCAAATACTGGATATGTTGTTCCGCTGTGGGTGACTTCTCCAATAAAACTCCCCAGTGCTTTTCTGTCATGGAACACATTGTCTCCATTTACAGCTCATTTTCTTGCATAACAGGGATTTAAGACTTGTGGGAAGATTACAGTAAACATAAGAGTGTTTCAAATATTCAGTAAAGAAGATGGGATTTTCAGGGTGCATGAACATGAATACCAAATATATTAAATAGGTCAATTAAGATCTTTGTTAGGTCATTTTCTCCTAGCTCCATGAGTTTTCACATCCAGGGTGAGCCGTCGAGTCCCATACAGTGAGGAACAGAAGTATTTGAACACCCTGTGATTTTGCAAGTTCTCCCACTTAGAAATCATGGAGGGGTCTGAAATTCACATTGTAGGTGCATTCCCACTCTGAGAGACAGAATTTAAAAAAGAAAATTCAGGAAATCACATTGTATGATTTTTAAAGAATTTATTTGTCTTGCACTGCTGAACATAAGTATTTGAACACCTAAGAAACAGCAAGAATTCTGGCTCTCAAAGACCTGTTACTGTGCCTTTAAAAAGTCCACCTCTACTCCACTCATTAATCTAACTTAGTAGCACCTGATTTTTTTAAATTTGTCTCTCAGAGTGGGAATGCACCTACAATGTGAATTTCAGACCCCTCCATGATTTCTAAGTGGGAGAACTTGCAAAATCGCAGGGTGTTCAAATACTTCTGTTCCTCACTGTATATACAAATATTTGATTAAATACTTTGCATTGGATATATTAAGGTTGTTTGGTAATTATATAATTTTCCTTTGATATACCTTTAGACTGCCTCGGCGGTTGAAATTCCTTCACAAAATCTCCCCTGAAGAAGTCCGTGAGGGCGAAACATGTAGGGAGTAAATACAATTATCTAACCAAGTTTGAATCTCAGTTTTACCCTTAGTACTGAAATTGTTTTTATGCTTCTGTATTTTTTACAAAAAAACGAAATAAAAATTATATAACTTAATATATTTGGTATTAATGTTCATGCACCCTGAAAGTCCCATCTTCTCTATTGAATATTAGCAATTTTAAGGGATGTGGTGCAATAATCATCGCTGTTCCTATAGGAGTGTTTCAGTTACTACTGCACATATAGCATTCCTGAGGAATTACCACATATAATAAATGAACTTAAAGCTGATCTCCATTGTTTCATTTAACTTTAAACAATTCTTTTGGACCAAGCTGATCCAATCAAATCATTTACTTCACTAACAGTTGCAACGGTTGTGTGTGCTGTATAAACTGTATGTAGCCCAAACTATAGTACATACAGTAAACGCAGTGCTACCTCAGCAGGACAAGAACTTCCAGTTCCTCTCCTGAAATAAAATCGGGCTGAGTGGCATTCAACCTTTTACAGGGAGCCTAGTGTTCAATGCCTGGATACAAAGCTTTCTCTGATTGGCTGAGAGAGTGGCAGGCTGATGACATCACAAAATCCATCTTCGCTAAAGACTAATGAAAATATTAGTGAGGTAAATAGTTCATGAACAAATTAAATAATTAAAGATGAATGAAGCATAAAGAGCATCTTTAAATTAACATATATTAAAAACAGATCATAGATAAATCCTCACCCTTGTAGATGCATATTGCAAGATATTACTTTTTAATTTTTGCATAAAGACCAAGTTGTAGAATACGATAATAGAGTCATGTTTTCCGTCTCGGATCAAAACATGTTTGAAAGTCTGCAAAATTAAACAAATTTTGTTATACAAATAAAACACTGCTTATGCCCAATGACAGTCATCCCTATTTTAATTTACAAGCACTATTTGGTATGCAACAAAATGTCATCAGCTTACATAACTGGACAGAGGTGTATGGAGGTGACTGTTCAGATAGTAAATCCTAGCCCCATTAGCTTTCATTCCTTTACTGGATTTCAAATATAAAATAATGAAACCTTATGTAGGGATGATAAGCATTTCCATTGTAAGAAGCCACACATTTATTTATTTTTTTATAAATATTTATTTTGTTTTTCAAGTCATATACAAATCATTTCCACATTTCTATTAAAATAGTTATCTAAACAGTAATTTCTCCTTATATAATTTAATTAATTATATACATAACTTTCCTTTTCCATCCCCCCTCCCATACATCCCCCCCTCCCTCTCCGCATCCCCTCCCCTCCTCCCCACTCCCTCCCACGCGCCACCCTTTCTCTTGTCTCGTTTACTCCATATATTTCTGTTGTTCCTAAACTCCATTTTAAGCCCACTTCCAGGAAAATTATCTCATCATGTATTTCACCTTTGCTTTATATTCTTCCCAGGCTTTCCATTTTTTATTATATATCTCTAACTTGTCCTCATACGTATAATACAGTCTTTCTGTCCCAGATATCTGATTTACTCTTCCCATCCAATCCTCCTCAGTTGGCACCTCTCTTTTCTTCCAGTACCTGGGGATCAGACTCTTTGCTGCGGTCAGATATTGCCATATCCCCGAACTCTTATATACCTTCGTTGAGAGTTCTGAGATATGGAGGAGACATAATTCTGGATCCAATCCTATATTGATTTTGGTAATTTTTCTTATCAAATAAACTATCCTCCGCCAAAACACCTGTATTTCTGGGCACTCCCACCACATATGATACCACGTGCCCTCCTCGCGACAACCTCTCCAACACATCTGTGACATTTCCGTATTCATCTTGTGCTCCACGTTAGGGGTAATGTGCCATCTATTTAAACACTTATAATTTATTTCTACTTCCCTCATACTAATATTTTCGTGAATTAATGTGAACATTTTCCTCTGCTCCTGCTCCTCTATTTTTCTTCCCATATCTCTTTCCCATTTTTCTACGTGCATTAATTTTGTGTCAGTGTCAAGTTCCATTAATATCTTGTATATTTTTGCCATTCCGTGTCTACCATTTCCCCGTGTCTCAAATATTCTCTCGAACGGATTTCAGTCTTTTCTAGTTCTTATTGGCTTTGGGAGGCTTTCAAAAAAATACTTCAATTGGTAGTATCTCAATCTATCCATCTTGTTAAAGACTTCTCCCTTTCTTTCCTCCATTTCCTTGTATGACCCGATTTCCTCTCCCACCATTATATCTCTCAATTGCGCCTCTTGTTTTATGATCCATTTCCCTGCTATACTGTCCATACCTGGAATAAATATTTTGTATTTCTAAGTGGTATTAATTGTGAATTAAAAACCCACCCCTTTTGTCTGTGTAGTGAATCCCATTCTTTTAAAACATTAAAAGTGTAAGTGCTAGTGCTCTCCTCTAATTCCCTATATTGTGCCGGTACCCAAATACTTTTACTTAAACTTATTCCACTCAGTGCATTCTCGATTTTAACCCAACTTTTCTCCGGGTTATGGATCCAGTCAAAGATTCTCGCAATAATCCCCGCTCTATAATATCTCTTTAAATCTGGTACCCCCAATCCTCCCTCTCTCTTTACTTCTAATCAACGTCTCATAACCTATTCTAGGTTTTTTATTTCTCCATATATATTTTATTATCATTTTCCTGAGTTCTTTGAAATATGCCTCTGGGAGTTTGATTGGAATCATTTGGAATTTTACTTGGGAACAATTACCATCTTTATCAGGTTTATGCGCCCTATCCATGAAGGATTTCCATTTCCCACCCTCCTGAGCTCCTCCTTGATCTCATTTAATATTGCTATATAATTGGCTTTATATACAGTCATGGCCGAAATTGTTGGCACCCTTGATATTTTTCCTGAAAATCAAGTATTTCACACAAAAAAAGGTATTGCATTAACACATGTTTTGCTATACACATGTTTATTCCCTTTGTATGTATTGGAACAAATATAAAACAGAGGCAGAAAAGCAAATATGACATAATGTCACACAAAACCCCAAAAATGGGCTGGACAAAAGTATTGGCACCCTTAACTTAATATTTGGTTGCACACCCTTTGGAAAACATAACTGAAATCAGTCGCTTCCTATAACCATCAATAAGCTTCTGACACCTCTCACCCGGAATTTTGGACCACTCTTCCTTTGCAAAACAGATCCAGGTCTCTCTTATTGGAAGGACACCTTTTCCCAACAGCAATTTTAAGTATCTCTCCACAGGTGTTCAATGGGATTTAGATCTGGGCTCATTGCTGGCCACTTCAGAACTCTCCAGCGCTTCTTTGCCATCCATTTCTGAGTGCTTTTTGACGTATGTTTGGGGTCATTGTCCTGCTGGAAGACCCAGGATCTTGGACGCAAACCCAGCTTTCTGACACTGGGCCCTACAGTGCGACCCAACTCCATCCTTTGGTAATCCTCAGATTTCATGATGCCTTGCACACAGTCAAGGCACCCAGTGCCAGAGGCAGCAAAACAACCCCAAAACTTCATTGTGTCCACCATATTTTACCGTAGGTACTGTGTTTTGTTCTTTGTAGGCCTCATTCCGTTTTTCGGTAAACAGTAGAATGATGTGCTTTACCGAAAAGCTCTATCTTGGTCTCATCTGTCCACAAGACGTTTTCCCAGAAGGCTTTTGGCTTACTCAAGTACATTTTGGCAAAACTGTAGTCTTGCTTTTTTATGTCTCTGTGTCAGCAGTGGGGTCCCTCCTGGGTCTCCTGCCATAGCGTTTCATTTCATTTAAATGTCGACGGATAGTTCGCGCTGACACTGATGCTCCCTGAGCCTGCAGGACAGCTTGAATGTCTTTGGAACATGTTTGGGGCTGCTTATCCACCATCCGGACTATTCTGCGTTGCAATCTTTCATCCAATTTTCCTCATCCGTCCACGTCAGGGAGATTAGCTACAGTGCCATGGGGTTGCAAACTTCTTGATAATGTTGCGCACTGTGGACAAAGGCAAATCTAGTTTCTGGAGATGGACTTGTAACCTTGAGATTGTTGATATTTTGCCACAATTTTGGTTCTCAGGTCCTCAGACAGTTCTCGTCTCCTCTTTCTGTTGTCCATGCTTAGTGTGGCACAGACAGACACAAATGCAAAGGTTAAGTGAACGTCTCTCCTTTTTATCTGCTTTCAGGTGTGATTTCTATATTGCCCACACCTGTTACTTGCCCCAGGTGAGTTTACAGGAGCATCACATGCTTGTAACATTCTTTTTTATCCGCAGTTGTGAAAGGGTGCCTCCAATACTTTTGTCCAGCCCATTTTTGGAGGTTTGTGTGACATTATGTCGAATTTGCTTTCTTTCCTCCCTTTTTTTGTTTTGTCCCAATACACACAAAGGGAATAAACATGTGTATAGCAAAACATGTGTTAATGCAATACGTTTCGTGAGAAAATACATGATTTCCTGGAGAAATATCAAGGGTTTGCAACAATTTCGGCCATGACTGTAGGTTCTTTGTTGAGGTTGATAGTTTTACTTCCTAAATATTTTAACTCTTATATCTCCAGAGGAAAGGGAATTCCTCTGTAATTTTTCTTTTTCACTATTTTTAAGGTTTTATATTTAAGATTTTCAGTCTTTGTCGGGTTAATTTTCAGGTTTAACAGTTCTCCATACTCCCTCAATTGCTTTCATTAAATTTGGAAGTGATGTTCTGGGGTTTCCAACGTAAAACATCAGATCGTCCGCATACGCCGCAACCTTATGTTCTCGATCTCCTATCTTTATTCCTTTTATATCTATATTCTTCCTTATCCTAGAAAACAAAGGCTCCAGTGATAACACATACAGCAATGGAGACAATGGACATCCCGGTCTTGTACCATTTGACATCTTTAACTGCTCTGATCTTCCTCCATTTACCATTATGGTGGCGGTAGGCCCTCTATATAACTCTCCAATCCACCCTCTCATTCTATCTCCCAATCCTAGCACTTCCAGGGTATCCATCATAAAAACCCCAACTTACTCTGTCGAATGCCTTCTCAGCATCTATCGATATCAGTATCATTGGGGTTTTTCCTTTTTTACCCTCCTGGATGAGCAACAGTGATCTCAAAGCATTATCTCTACCCTCTCTTCCCAGGACAAATCCCACCTGATCTCTGTGTATCCACTCCGGCGGCATCAGTTCTTTTAGTCTATTTGCCAGCACCTTTGCAAATATTTTAGTGTCTACATTCAATAACGCTATTGGTCGATAACTTGCACATTACGAGGGGTCTTTATCCTCCTTCTGTATCAGTACTATATTGGCCTGTAAAGATCTCCCCTCATCTCCAACCCGTTCCCCAAGGCGTTCATATAGATCTTCATCTTGGGTATTAAAAGCTCTTTATACTTTTTATAATATTTTACCGTATATCCGTCCGGACAAGGACTTTTCCCTCCCGCCATACTTTTTAACGCTATTTCTATTTCCTCTGAAGTTATTTCTTCCTCTAAAGAGTTCAGTTGTATTTCTCCTAATTTCGGTAGACCTGCGTCCTCTAGGTATAAACTTCCTTTTCCCTCTATTTACTGTTTCCGTTTTCTTAAAGATATCCTGGGGAATGATATTATACAGGCCACTATAATACTCTTTAAATACTCTGGCAATATCCTTGGTTGCGTGTACAAATTCCCCTTGGGATTTCTTATTTTCTCAATATAATTTCTATTTTTCTTCTTTCTTAAAGTTCTCATTAAATACTTTCTCGGCCTATCTCCCCATCTATACCTTTCACATATTATTTTATTAAAGACTCTTCTTTTTTCTTCCTCCATTACTTTCTCTAATTCTTCTTTCTTCTTTATTTAACAGCTGCATTATC